CCTCCCTGCCCAGGAACTGTGCCCCTGCCTGGCCAGGAACTGTGCCCCTGCCTGGCCAGGTACTGTGCCCCTGCCTGCCCAGGTACTGTGCCCCTGCCTGCCCAGGTACTGTGCCCCTGCCTGCCCAGGTACTTTGCCCCTGCCTGGCCAGCTGCTGTGCTCCTGCCTGGCCAGCAGGGATCTCGTGCCAGTGCTCTCTGCTTGGTGTCTGGGAGGGCAGTGCTCTTCCTGCCAACTGTCACGTGAAGTAACATCCACATCTGTTTTTGATGTTATGTCCTGATGTTAACTAAGGAAAATTAGAATAAGCAAATATTCTTTGGAGAGTTTGCAGAAATGAGAAAAAAGAAACACTCTCTCTATATGTATTTAAATAGCAAGATGGTGTTGCAATGGTGATGGGGTAACAGTGGTCAATGTGCCAGTTTAAATCCATAGTGTAACTCCTCACCTGTCATGGGGTCACAGGCATCAGTGGAGCGTGACTGACTTCAGCTGAGCAGGAACTATTTCTTCTTTGCAGTAGTCTAAAGGCAGTGTTCTGATCCCTTTGGATTAGAGGTGCTGAGAAACACTTTTTATGGACAACAAAGAACTCTCAGTAACTTTATGTAATTGTCAGCCTGCACATGAGTTCGAAATGAGACTCGAGAACAAAGGATGGCAGTAGCACCAATGTTTGGGGAAAAGCAGTTTCAGTAGTATTTTTCAGATTATTCAGAAACACTGCCTTCAAAATAAATATAGCAGGTTTTCAAGAGAACCATTTGCAGTCACATTTGAAAGCCTCTTTGTATCGCTTGCTTCCTAAATATTCCCGTTGAAATAAGACTGCTTGCATGATACACATTCCAGTCAGTGTAAAGGGGGTGATTGGAGTCTGACCTCGTGTGGATGGGAGAGACTGAGTGTTGTGTATTGCCAAACTGTATTTTTACATTTGAGAGCAGAGATCAAGAAGTTTTTGGGGTCTGATTTTCTTTCAGAGTCTCCCAGTATCGAGGACCTGGACCCTCCATACAACAGTCCCTTCCAAGAGAGAGTGGCAAACCAGCGTGTGGCATTCCCGTGCCCTGCTAGAGGTGTGTGCCACTGCTCCCACTGCCAGAAGTATCTTTTGCTGTTGACCTTTGAAAATTACTAAGTTCCTGTAAAAATGTCCAATCCACACAGTATTTTCCATATATACTTTATTTGGAAAAACTCAAGCTAATGGTAATTTAAATAACCACCGTGTGTGGAAGTTTTGTGGAAAGTCATTGCAAGCCAAAAAGGATTTTATAATGTTTGGGACTAAGATTTTTCATGTTAAAATCCTCCTGTAGCAGCTGGGGCTTCCTCTTGGAAGGACGTGTTGTCCTTGCAGTAAGACTTCCAGCAAGCAGCAGGAATTGTGTGAACCTCTCTTGTTGTGAGCCGAGCGAAGCGTTTGTGGCAGTTCCCCCTTTGCCTCTTTAGGTGTTCCAAAGCCTGCCATCAGGTGGCTCCACAACGGGAGGGAGCTGACGGGCAGAGAGCCAGGCATTGCCGTGCTGGAGGACGGGACGCTGCTGGTCATCGCTGCTGTCACCCCCTCGCACAGCGGGGACTACGTGTGTGTGGCCACCAACGAGGCTGGGAGCGCTGAGAGGAAATACAGCCTCAAAGTGAACGGTACAGAACAAACACAACCCTTGGGAACTGCTTTGGAAGAATCTCTTTGATGTTACTGTTGGGAATTGCATGCCCAGGTCTGCCCATGAGCCGTTAAATGATAAAAGCTGATCTGACTACTTGCATTTCTATTATTCAGATGTTCTCTGTGTTTTTTTTCTGTTGTTTCTGTTCTCCATGACTTTAGGAACAAACCATCTTTGTTTTGCTCCAGGAGCCAGGTGCATCTCAGACTATTTATACTTGAAATCTTCAATGCAAATAGCAAATGAAGACTTTTGTACCGTAGAGATTAAAGACTGGGGGATAGGTCTGCATTTCAGATCTAAATATGAGAAAAGTTATTTATATGATTAAACATAGGATAGGAGAACTTTTGTTCCTGATATTCTTCTTCCAGAATCCTCATTAGAAAACAAAACCTCCATGGGTGGCCTTGAGGTATTGATTTGTACAGAGCACTTTTATTCCAGCCTTGTTCACTTCCCATGATAGTGCTGATGCCTGTGAGCAGGATTATTATATCCTTATCTTTATCCTGAGAAAAGCAGGAATTCCATCCTGTGCCAGCAGGACTTGTCAGTGGGTTGGGATTTTCTAATCTACCACATAAGGCCATTCTGTTTGCATCCATAGTGAGATAAATATTAGACAAGTGTTCTGGAACATGACTGGAGCAGTGAAGAGGAAGGATGACTGGAATCTGCTTCCTTTACTAAACAAATGTTGCTGAACAAGTAACAGGAGATTTTAAGATTAAATTAAAGGTTAAATAACATTAAGATTCAGTATTAAGATTAAAAATGTTGCTGGTTGTTCTGTTGGAGTGAATTTCCCTGGGAGTCCATTACTGGGCAAGAGAAGACTGTTTTTTGAGAAGAATAAGAAAAGACATAGGAAGATATGCCCAGAGGCAAAAGGCAAAAGGAAACATTGAGGAGGGAATGAAAAGGGTCTAAGAAATTTGGATTACTGTGGTCCTTGACAGAGGGGAGGAAGGAGAAGGTGGGAAATCATGACTTTGAGTTTTCTTGCAGTTCCTCCTGAAATTAGAGATCAAGAAAAGGTGACAAACACATCTGTGGTTGTTCATCACCCTGTAAGTCTCTTCTGTGAAGTAACTGGTAACCCCTTCCCAGTCATCTCCTGGTATAAAGAAGATATCCAGGTATGTGTGATTACTGAAATTAGGCAGCCTCACTCAGTTTTGGGGGGACTTTGAAGTGCTTGGTGTGAAAACTCACTGAAGTAAATACAGGTACCTGCCTTTATGTGCTTAGTAGTGCACTAAGAACACCTCCACAAAAAACTAGCTAAATATGGTTCATCCATGAATTCAATAAGTGAAAAGTAAGCTCTTTATTTTCAGGATTCCATTAGGAATTAGCCTTAATAATCTTCCAGTATTGCGGATGCCAGAGTCCTTCCAGAGGGGACCAACTATGCTATTTTCTTTATTTTATGGGTGGAGAAATAAGAACTGTTGGAGGCTATTTGAATTCCTCAGGATTTATCCTTGAGTCCTCTGCTCCCAGTTGTAGCTGATAAGTCACAGTTTCAGACGAGGAGAGAACCCTTTATGCACTTTGTGACTGCCCCTTGCTGATGGATGGAGGGTTTCTTTGGTTCCCCCCTTGCCTGCTGTGAGCTCCAAACCATATTGAACAGATTGCAGCAGTGCAGGGGATTAGTGCTGTAACTGAGAGGGGAAACAGATTATCCCTAAACCTAAAACTACCATTTTCTTATAAAAATCCAGCTGTGCTGTTTGGCTGATGTAACTTGGATCACATAAGGCTGATGTCTCGGGTTCTTTTAAGGTTGTGGAAAGCAGTACTGTCCAGATTTTGCACAATGGGAAGATACTGAAGCTCCTGAAAGCTGCTACTGAGGACGCTGGACAATATTCCTGCAAAGCCATAAATGTGGCAGGAAGTTCTGAGAAGCTGTTTAACCTAGATATACTAGGTCAGTTCATGGTTTGGGGGTTGGTTTTTGTTTTGTTTGGGGTTTTTTTGTAAGTTGGTGATTGGAAAAACAGTTGATATTTAAGCAGGCAGTAAATTTCATCTCGTTATAAATAGATTCTTGCACTCACTGTTCTTCCTTAATGTTTGTCTTTCTGAAGTTCCCCCGAGCATAATAGGTACTGATACCCCTGGGGAAGTTGCAGTCATCCTCAACCAGGAAATCAGCCTGGAATGCAGAGCCAAAGGCTTCCCTGTTCCTGACATTCACTGGTTCAAAGATGGCAAGTGAGTGTGTTACAGCCTTTGAGGTTTGTGCCTGGGTTGTTCCTGCCCTGGAACACGGGGAGGAAGTGCACTGTACCTGCACACTCTGGTTTGACTACTTAGTGTTAAGTTGTCATCAGATAGAACTTGGGGTGGTGTGAGCTGCTGAGTCCTTTAATTAAAAGTTAACCTTCTGCTCATCTTTGTGAACTCTCCCCTGACTGGCACTTGCAGAACACATTTAGGATATTTTAAGCCAGACAACGCTTGAAGCATTTGATTATAAACTCAGCCATTTCTTTGAGTTTATTCCATGGTTATTCTATCTGGATTATTTTAAACATATCATTAGTTAAAATGCAGTTTAGCTGACGTGTTTGACATTTTTCTAGCTAGTGCCTTGTGCACCTCTGCACATCTACATTAAAGGTTATATATGCATATATACATACTTCCATTCCTCATCTCATCCTCCAGGAAGGCACACCAGGAGAAGGATTCTTAGTGGCTTAACTATTAGCTGAAAATCCAGCTGGGCTGTGGTTTTGGTGTTTAACAATATAGTTCAGTACAGACATAGATTAGTACTCACAGATATCCTGCTGTGACAATTCCTTACTCTTTGGTGTGGATATACTGACACTTTCAACTAGTAGTTGACATTTTGTTATCAGCAAAGGCCTGGCATGACTAAGGATATTAGGAAAAAGAACTGAGGTCAAGCATAGGACTCTGGCTCTGATGCTGGCATCCTGGATGACCTGAGTGAAGTAATTTTTGTGGTTTGTTTTCTTCTAAAAACTAAGAATAGAGTTAATTATAATAGTTTGTCACTTGATGGTGTTTCTTGTGCTTAATGCTGTTAATTTAGTGCTAAATGGTTCTCTGGAACGGGATAATTTCTGCCACTAAAGGACCTCTTCATCTTACTGTCAGTTTAAATTACTGCTGAAAGGATGGGGTCAGAGCTCTGGGAAGCAAAACACTCTCTCTTTCAGGCCCTTGTTTCTGGGAGATCCCAATGTTGAGCTTCTGGACAGAGATCAAGTTCTGCACATCAGGAGTGTTCGAAGGGGTGACAAGGGGCGTTACCAGTGCAGTGCCACCAACACTGCTGGCAAACAAGTCAAGGAGGTCAAGCTCATTGTCCACGGTGAGTTTACAGAATGCCAGGCCCTGGAACATCCTTGGATTTTACTCATAAGGTTTCTTTTTGGAATGGAGATGCTCAGATGCACACAAATTTTGCAGGATCAGATCCTTAATTTGTATTTGTCTGAGTAAATCCATTCAAAAAAGAAACTTTACTGAAACAAGCATACCTTAATATTCATCTGTTGATAAAGAGATCCTTTTTGAGCATTTACACATATCAAGTCAAGTATGGGTCCAGTCTTTGCAGACTTGGCCTTTAAGTGGTGGTTTTGTGCTTTTTATAATTTTCTAACTGTTGAGAGACAAAAATCTTGACAAGCTTTCTCAAATTCTGCTATTAATTAGTTTCAGCTGAATTTTGATCTGTCTTATGAAGAAGAAAATGAATTAGAAGATTTTTGTTTTAATATACTTGTGGTCTTATTTTCCTTTAGTTAGTGTTAGGAGTAAATTCAGCCAGGAATAAGTAAAAGTTAGTGCAAAAGTATAAAGCAAAGTGCAAAACCAGTCAGAGTCAGACCTAAATAGTGTTTGAAGAAGAATATTCCAGATGACCTTCAGGTAGCGTGGTGGGACATTCCTGAAGTATGGAGCAGCCACAGCACACTGCCTGTACACCAACCATGGGCAGGCCTGTGTCCAGCAGGAGCAAAGGAAATGCTGGCACAACTTGCAGGTGATTGTGGCTGTTGGGAGATTAGAGGAATAGAAAGGCCCCCAAGTAAAACTCTCACAGATGAGTAGATTTACTTCAGATTCTTCAGGCAAGAGAGGTGAACTCGTGATAGTAGATTGGAACACCTCTTTACTTTTAAATTTCTCATTAATCCTGGCTGCACAAACAGAAGCCCACAGAGTAAGTGAGGAGCCTAGATGCTAATTCTTGCTCATTCTTACTTTGTTTTAGCAGTTCAGCCGTATTTTTGACTTTAATATTTTCCCAAAACACCATGTTAAAACCATTCCCCATTTCCGTGGATCCTCTGTCAGCGTTTGCTGATAGAGAAGTGCATTTGCCTTTGATCTGGGTTTGTTTCAGCATGTTTTATGGATTTAGGTTTTTTGGCAACAAAAAATGTTTAATTAGTAAAATGTTTCACTGTGGTTTGATAATCTGCAAGACCCATCTCAGGTGCAGATCCGTCCATGGACACTTTGCTTTACATCTCTGCAGTGGGGTTTTCAGTGACCACTATGGAAGTCAGTGGAATCCGTGGATGTGCTGAGCATTTTTGGCAGCACAGGAGTCAATGTGTCTGCCAGATGTGTCTGGTACTCTCAGCAGTCATAAATTTACTCGTTGCCAATTGCACTCTGTTTTTATTACTTCTATAGAGATTTACGGACTCTTTATATTGGCTGATTTACACCAGAGCTTGTTTGCTAGAAGAATCTGAGTCCTGCTGCCCAGTGAGCAAGGGAAATGACTGTGGGCCAAAAAGTTTCAAAAATAGGAGCATAAAGCAAGACTGTTAAGCTCATATTTAGTCTCAAAGTGACTTCATCCTCAGAAGTTTGGAGCCCTGAGCAGTTCCCGCTGCAGCTGTCGAGGCTCTTGGGTGTATCTGGTATTTTTAATGGCAGGTTCCTTGCTGGGAGGATGCACTTCCCCAGGGATACAGGGATTGCTCTTTCTTTACCCCTTGGAGACAGGGAAGAGGGGTGCCCAGATGCATTGCAGGATGCATGGAGGCCCTAACTTGGCACAGGTTGGAGCCTGGTGGCCCTTTTTGTTGTGTTCTCTTTGTGCTTTCTACCCTGTGTTGCCTTGGAGAGCTGTACAGGTGATATATCTCTTTTCCCAGTCAACCAGCAGTAGGACATGAGGGCACAGTCCCAAACTGTGCCAGGGGAGGTTTAGGTTGGAATCAGGAAGAAGTTCTTCCCAGAGAGAGTGATCAGACCTTGGAATGGGCTGCCCAGGGAGGGGATGGAGTCCCCTTCCTTGGAGGTGTTTGAGCAGAGCCTGGACGTGGCATCAGTGCCATGGTCTGGGTGACAAGGTGGGGTTGGGTCAAAGGTTGGACTGGATGATCTGAGGTCTTTTCCACCCTCAGTGATTCTGTGATTGTGATTCTGTGATCTACTCTGCTGGGGAAAAAAACAACCAAAATACAGCAGGAAGGGTTGGAAGTCTGATTAAAATATTTTGTTCTTACGGCATTCTGATGTTTCATTTACATCTGCACATCTTTGTAACCCAAGGCTTTAGTGCTGCTGTTTTGTCTTTTGAAACAGTCCCTCCCAGTATCAAAGGAGGGAACGTTACCACGGAGGTGTCGGCGCTGCTCAACAACCTCATCAGCCTGGAATGCGAGGCCAAGGGCATCCCTGTCCCCACCATCACCTGGTACAAGGATGGGCACCCCCTTCTCTCCAACCCCCAGGCTCTGTACGTGGACAGGGGGCAGTTCCTGCAGATCCCCCGTGCCCGGGTGTCGGACTCTGCCAGGTACACGTGTCGTGTGAGCAGCGCGGCCGGCGCGGCCGAGAAGGTGTTCCACGTGGATGTGTACGGTGAGGGACAGCTCCTGGGCTGGGGGGTTGGGTTACAGCTGCACTGGGAGAGCTCTGCTGCCTCTGCAGCCTGGCAGGGACTGTGTTTGAAGGCTGGCCTCTCTGAGCAGGGCCAGGAGATTTAGACCCTCTGCTTTGTGGGACTCTCAAAAAGCTCTTTGGTTCATGGAATCCTGCAATGGTTTGGGTTGGAAGGCACCTTAAACATCCTCCAGTTCCACCCCCTGCCCTGGGCAGGGACACCTTCCACTAGCCCAGGCTGCTCCAAGCCCTGCCCAACCTGGCCTTGGACACTTCCAGGGATCCAGGGGCAGCCACAGCTTCTCTGGGCAACCTGTGCCAGGGCCTCACCACCCTCCCAGCCAAGAACTCCTTCCCAATATCCCGCCTAACCCTGCCCTCTGGCAGTTTAAAGCCATCATCCCTTGTTCTATCCCTCCATGCCCTTGTCCAAAGTCCCTTCACCAGCCTTGGTACCACACTTTCTTCTGCTGCACTATTTCTTCTCCATGTATATGTTCTTGAATTCCCATCTGTATGCTGAACAATACTTACCTGCAATACCCAGTCTGTAGGGGATCTTTAGAATGCCCTCTTGAGTCCTTTGTATTTAGTTCTTCCCTCTCAAAGCCCTGCAGATCCTGTGTGTTATACAACTGGTCAATACTGAAGTAAAAAATTCGAATTCTCTGTTTCCCTTTGCCTTGTCCCACCCCAGCAGCAAATTCTCCCATGAAATCCTGCGTGACAGAACGGCTTATGGAGCCAAAGTGGGGGGAGGAACCAACCCATTTGCTCTTAATTCATTTTCTGGCTACAGAATTAATGGCTTGCAGTGTATTTTTTCCTCTTTCCAGTTCCTCCGGTGATCGAGGGCGATGCTGACACAGCCCAGAGCAGGCAGGTGGTTGCTGGGAATTCCCTGACACTGGAGTGTAACGCTGCTGGCAACCCTCCCCCTCTCCTGACCTGGCTGAAGGATGGGGTTCCCGTGCAGGCCAGCGACAGGCTCCGTGTCCTGGCTGCTGGGAAGAGGCTGGAGATCCTCAACGCCGCCGAGGCCGACCGGGGCCACTACTGGTGTGTGGCCACAAGCATAGCTGGGGAACAGGAAATCAAGTATGAAGTTGAAATCTTAGGTGTGTGAGCAGCACAACTACTGATTTGTCACATTCCCATAAACCTAATATGGACAGATTCCAAACACCCCCATGTTTGTATTTTTGTTTGTGAAAGATCAGTTATCAGGCTCCATATTTAGTTGAACCTGAGCACTGTACAACTTTGCTGTCCAGGGTTACAGGACAGTTGGAAGGCTTTCAGGTTAGTTCTTGAAGGATTTTTTTGCATGTGGTTGGTAAATATTATTCTCAGTAACCCCTAAAATTCTTCTAACTTGCCTTCATAGAAGAAAATCATAGATCCCCAAGAGTATCCATTAAAAATATCACTGAGTAGTGGCTTCTAGGAGAGGACATCTTTCTCTGAATTGTGTTGTGCAAATTTTGAACCTTCTCTTGAAAAAATGCTTTTCCTTTTGTATCCCTTGAATCTGTTACCAGTTTGCATCTCAGCAGTCCCTGTTGACTGTCCTGAGGTAAAAGAATTGTACAAAAACGTGAACTACCTTCTCTTGACATGGCAGGAGTTATTTATGAGCTGTAATGAACTTTGAATTGCTCTCTTGGAGAACATAGTATTGAATGCAGGAGAAGAGCACCCATTCTGCTGCTCCAGGTGTATCTCACTGGTCTGGGTCAGTGGAGGAGCTGTGAGGAGCTGTGTTGCAGTGCTTCCTTCCCAGAGAGGACGAGACAGGGTGAAGAAGGACCTGGAAAAGGTTCATCTGCACCTTTGTTTTCTCCTTCTTCTGGCAGGGAGTGCTAAAAGGCCCCCCCATCCCCACCCATTCATAAGGTTGTTCTGACAGAGTCTGGGAAAACCAACCAAATGAGAAACAATAAAAAAAAAATGAGAAGAATGATTTGAAGCTGCAAAATATTACTGGATAAATGTTTCCCTTCAGAAAGGAACTGAGGTTCCTAATGAATCAGTGTGTGTTTAACATTGCTATTTGAGAGAGGCTGTCTTGATATTTCTGATACTTAAATGTTTCTGTTTGTGGATTTTCTCTTTCACAGTGCCACCACTTGTGGAAGGTGGGGATGAGCTCTTGGACTACATTGTGATTCTCCACAGCCCTTTGGAGCTGGATTGTACAGCAACAGGGACACCCTCACCAACTATCACGTAAGGGCACTTGTGTGACAGTAGAAAATAAATGAATCTGCTGCTTGGTTAGGGGAGTGTGGAATTGAGCTTTATGAGCCACCTGTGTTGTTTGGTGATGGTTAATGAGCAGAGGACAAACTCCTGGCTCCACTGACGACAGCACTCACTGGGCAGCATCAGGATTTTATTTTAAATGAGTTTGGTTTGTTGTGCCAGTGTCCACGTTCTGGAGATGGGCATAGATAACAAGAGCAGCCAAAACTCTCATTCCTGTGCTAATGCAACTGAGCACTTTTGTTCTGCCACCTGGGGTTGCTTTTGCTGTGGAGATTTCTCTCTGCCTCTGATGGTACCTGCTGTTACCTTTCTGATGTCTTCTTTAGTGCCTGTTCCCCAATACTCCCTTCTGATAAACCATTTTGGTCCATGGCAGTCAGGAAAGTGGAATATGACACCTCCAAACTTCCCTGGAAATGCAAATTGAGTTACTGAGCTGTTCTGTTTAATGGAGTTGTGCATATTTCGGGAGTGTTGTAGATCTTTCTTTCACAGAGAGCTGAGACTGAACTTTCTCTTTGACAGGTGGTTGAAAGATGGTCATCCAGTTGAAGAGGGAGCTGGGCACAAGATCTTATTAAAGGGACAGAAACTTGTCATCTCTCAAGCTGAAGTGTCAGACACCGGCCACTATAAATGTGTGGCTGCAAATAAGGCAGGAGAACATGGGAAGGAATTTGATGTTACAGTGCATGGTAGGTTACTCAAGGGGGAAGCAGCAGACTGCTTTTCTTTTTAAATTACTGGCAAGAAGGTGCTCAGATCTCCTGTAAATGCTTATTTGTATTAGTGGGTTGAAAAATGTAGATGAGATAAGCTGAAGTAGAATCATAGAATAGTTAGGGTTGGAGGAGACCTTAAAGTCCATCTCATCCCAACCCCCTGCCGTGGGCAGGGACACCTTCCACTAGAGCAGGTTGTCCTGATCTAGGAGTAGAAATAGAACTGCACTCACCTGTGGGGTATTGTTTCTATATCTTTAAATGTACATGTTCAAATGACACTTTGTTTTTGTTTCTGGTACTTCTTGCAGTTCCCCCAACCATCAAATCAACTGGGCCTTCTGAGAGAGCTGTTGTGATCCACAAGCCTGTGACACTGCAGTGCATAGCCAGTGGCATTCCCAGCCCTTCCATAACCTGGTTAAAAGATGGACAGCCAGTAAACACAGCCAGAGGAAACCTCAGAGTAAGCATGACTCTTTTGTGGGATCCAAACCATGCCAATAGTTACAATGAATTATACAGGTCAGTGTGTCTTTTCCTGTTGCTTCCCTTGCGCTGTGATATGAAGATGCTAAAGATCCATCCTGGAGAACGAGGGGCTTTTTGCCTGCCCAGGGTGGTATCTCTGGTTATAGCAGTGTTTAGTAGACTGAATCCCATTAGACAGCTCATATCAGAGGAGTCCAGGGCTGGAAATTCAGCATGTGGCTCCTTCCAGTGCTACTTGAACCTTTCGAGGTGTGGCTGTCTGCTGGTTGTGAGGTGGGCTCTGCCCACTTGTCCCTGTGAGGAGGCATTAAGATGAGCTGTTCTATAATTGCTGCCATTGCAGCAGCTACCTGTAATTCCCTTCTGATGGTGACATCCTGCCTTTCCATGAAGAGCCCTTCCCAGTAGTTCCATGCTCCAGGGGTTTGATTGCTTGCAATGGCTTTGATTTACTGTGGACTGGAGCAGCTTTTGACATCCTGACTGCAGCCTCCTCTGCCCTTTGCATGCCTGCCCTGCTGCCATATGGGTCTCCTTACACTTGTACAGCTCATAATGCTGATGTCCCAGGATTACTGAAGCCCCTGAACTCCCAGACACCCCTTCCCTGGGTTGGAGGGAAGCCGCTCCCGGCGGTGTTCCGTGTCAGCGTGTGCTCTGCCCTGGGCCATCGTGTCCATGTGCTCTGTTTTGGTACAGCTGGAGTCCTCAGGCCGTGCTCTGCAGGTGGGCAGGGCCCTGCCCCAGGATGCTGCCCACTACACCTGCGTGGCCACCAACGCAGCCGGAGAGGCCCAGCAGCACGTCCGGCTCCACGTGCACGGTAACGTCTCTGCTCTGGGCAGCTCCTCTGGCACCTGTGTGCCCTCTGCTCTGGCTTTTGTGCTGTCTCTGCACATCCCCCTTTCACTTTGCTTTTTTTGTCCCACTCCATTAGTAAGGAGTGAGGCCAAAAACTCTTCTTCTTAAGATCTGGCCTCTCTCCTGTGGTACCAAGGGCCCAGAAATAAATGAATTAATTCCCTTTCCAGGTAATTGCTGTTCAGAGGTCTCCGAAAAAGCCAAACACATTGCCACTAACTCACCCCTCAGAATGGTACCTGTTTCTGAGTCAGTATATGATATACCACCATTGACATTATTAATTTCATCCAAATTGTCTGTGGATATTGGTATTCCCTGTGACCCTGCAATGGGAAATTTTTACAGGAATGACTTTTCTGAGAAAGAAACATTCTGTTGTGAGGGGATTTTTCAACCTGATTAAAGGGAACTGTCTTTTGCAGCTAACAATAGTATAAAAGGAGTCGGGGAAACTTGAGAAGCAGTTGTTTGCATGTGAGTTTAATAGATGCTCTCTCCATGATTTATGTATGTTTGGCTCAGAAATCGGCTTTTGCATTCTTGATGTGATCCAATCCTCAAAGGAGGTGTGGGAATCCTCAGGAGGTGTAGGAATGGACCATGGCAAAATGCTCACAGAGTATCATTATGTTGACTCTTATTGCCAAACCAACTCAGTATCTGGAAGATGTTCAGCTGAAATGAGGAGAAGCTGCAGAGTCTCCATGGACGAGACTTAGAAAGGGAAGCCACACTCATCTTATACTGTGATAATTGCATCACAGCTAATTTGAGTGTCAGCCCCATGTCAGAGATGTCTCTTTTTGCTGTCTTCATGTTCAAAGTGTCATTGTCTGGTGTTTCTGACGTGGTGCAGATTTCTAAACATTAGTAAGGTAAAGCTGTGTCAACAGTCAGTTGAAGTGGGATGTTCCTGCCACAATAAAGAATTGCTGTTCTGTGTTGTGCACCCATTCCTTGCAACTCTGTTTTAAAGTCCCAATTTCACGAAAAAAATTAGAAGTAACAAAAATAACATTTTATTCCTCTTACCACTGATGTGGTTATATAGTTAGAGAATATCCCCTTTTCAAAGATGAGCTTCTTGGAGAAATTCCTCGGTCATCCAGCAGCTGAAGGTTGTGCAACTCATAGCCCAGAGTTTGTCCAAGGGCAGATGACTCTGTGGTTGGATGCTGTGCTGGCTGGGTGGCTGAATTAATGCAAACCTGCTGCCTTTGTCTTTCCCCAGAACCACCTAGTCTGGAAGATGCGGGAAAGATGTTAAATGAAACAGTGGTGGTGAACAACCCAATCCATCTTGAATGCAGAGCTTCTGGGAACCCTCTGCCAGGTATCCACGTGCACTTTGGGGAACATCTGGAATCAGCTTTAAACACATCCCCTTTTATCTCCTGCCAGCCAAATATTTGACAGTGTAGAGTAGACCTAAAGTACCTGGTGCATTGAGCATGTCAAGTGTGGGCATATCTAGGACCTTTTTTAGACTGTGTTTTTGCTCCCACCTTCTTCTGATAAGATATAAAAATACCATGTTACTGTGAGAACAATTTTCTATATTAATTGTTGTACAGCAAAACTGGAGGAATAGTTACTAAGAGCTTATCTAATATAGCAATTTATGCTGATGACAGCAACATTTTCAGAAGAAAGGTGTTATTACATTTCAGGTGAACATCCTGATTCACCTTTTCTGCCTTTTTGAGAATTAATTCACAGCAAAGTATTGTTTTCTATAGTAATTTATACTGGTATAAAACACAGTTTAAAAATACTGAGGGTGTAAGTAAAATGTAAAAACACCAGGATTTTATATCCGTTTTACACTCTCTTTAATTTCTTCTCCTCCTTTTTCTCTCCAAATTGACAATTATTTTAGAACAAACAATTAAAATGATGGATTTCAGATGATTTATGCAATAAGAACAGTTTGGTCACCTCTGGTATGATGTGATGCCACATCATAGTGTCAAGAAATAACATTAACAAAGAAAAGTGATAGCACAGCATTCCACTGAAAAAGAGAGGAGCCCTGTACAGTGTTGTTTATCAGTGAGACCAGAACACTTTGTGAATGCAGCTCTTTCCCCAAATAAACTTGTGTATTACAGATAATCAATAAGTGGTAATTTCATCTACTGAGTGGTGGTACCATAAGTCCTACATGGCTCATTCTCCTGATGGCTGGTGCCATCTTTTGGCTGAGATGCAAAATCCTCAGATGTTGCTGGTTATAGAGTTCCTCCTGTAAAACTTTCTTTTGGAGCAGCACCGGATTCCTGCTCTTTATTTTAACTTTTTTTTTCAGCCTACCTATTGAACTTTGATTTTGTTGCTTACATGTTGGTTCTTTGTCCCAGGTGGTTGAGTTTAATGTAGGGATAATTTAGGATAAAAGGTGAAAAAATGATACATATTGTAGAAATCCCAGGGCGGTTTGGGCTTGAAGGGACCTTAAAGCTCATCTTATTCCACCCCCTGCCATTGGGCAGGGACACCTTCATATTATTGTGTGTTTTTAAACAGCTGCTCGTGACCTCGGTATGAGATGAGTAAATTTGGTTTGTGAGATAAAATGTCCTGAAGGTAAAAAATGTCCTTAAATATATGATGTGTGTAGATGATAGTGTCGAGAGTGCTGTTGAATTCTGGGGGGGATTGTCAGTATTTTGCACAAATGTTACCCCTTTCCTCATTTTGAGTTGCTTTTCACTGTTGTTAACGCTG